GAGATGAAGAGGAACAAGTTTGATAGAGGGAGAATTTCGATTTGAGCTTAGGAAGTTGATGCTTTGGATCTGTGAACAGGGCTGACGGATTTGAGAGTTGAGAGGTGTTTGGGAGAGAATTATTTGAGATGTTTTAAAAGAAGCTGCTGGGCACTGGGCAGAAAAAAGAACAAAAGCTAAAAGAAGGCATGCGTGGGGTGGGAGACAGATGAGGATGTACAAAAGATAAAAATAATGCACAACAAAAGATAAAAGAAGGCATGCGTGAGGATGGAGTGGGAGACAGACAGATGATGATTGTTTATTCAACGGCTCAATTTGTTTTCTTTATGTTATTTTTAATTTTTAATTAATATAACACTTTATTACTACTTAACAACATCTACTTTCTTTGTCTTGGCAAGTCCTTGCCCCTGTTACAGATAGAGATGGGAGAAGACTTCGAAGTCAAGCCTGCATACTAAGTCCCAACTATGGAGGCGGCCTTTTACCAATTCAACCCTGCATACTAAGTCCCAACTACATGTTAGACTGTAGCCCCACTAGACAGATGGAGAAAGACTTCAAAGTCAAATAGTCAAGCAACCCATAAATCTTGTGGAGGCCTTTTCCACGATACTAAGAACCCACTATATATAATATATCCATTAGCTGTCTGTTATTTTCAGTCCCGTTGGAATCCCACGTCGGTTGGGTGAAAGAAATAAAATGAGTTTAAATAGAATTACCCCACTCTAACTAATATCGAGACCTTTTGTGGTAAAATTCCACACCTGACGAATTAGGCATGTGGTAAAATGGGGACAGTATCGATGTTGTTAGAGTGGGACCCATCGGGCAGATCCAAAAACTTCAACACCTCAATCCAAATTTCCCACTTGCCTAAGTTGCTACAATTACTTGACTTAGTTGGAGCTGATGCTGTTATATTTTTCATAATAGTAATTGTAATAACTCATGCCATTGTTCTCGTTAAATTATAGCTTAGTTGGTCAATGTTTAAAAAATTCTGGTTTGGCTTTGAATGGGTAGTAACACACTGAGAATTTGTGTTTCTAGTGAGTTTCCTTGTCATCCACTTTCTTCCCCTTAGCTCTCATACAATAGTCAATAGGGATCAAAATGGGCATAGCAAGGCAAGTGGATTTGCCACTTCCAAGTTTTTCTAATTTGTGATAGACTTTAAAGGCCTCAGAGGTGATGGTTGTTTGCAAAGTCCCTGTCTGCTACGTGCGGTGCTGCTCAACTCCCTTTTCCTTCCATTTCATTTGTCCTCATTACTGAAAATGGATGGGATGGGAGAAGACTTCAAAGTCAAGCAAGCAACAGCCATCAACAAGGAAGCCTTTTCCCAATCCCACCATATTAAAGCCACCACAACCCTTCTCAGTTTCTTCATCACTTCCCCTGTTCAGCAACTCTAAAACCAGATAGTTTTATCCAAAATGAAAACTTTCCTCCAATATTTCTTCCTCTTATTCTTAAATATCACTACTATAACAATCTGTGGTAAAACCATCCCTTCAGTTCACAGCCGCTGTATTAAAGACCAACAACTATCATTGCTCCATTTGAAGAAAAGCCTTATATTTAATGGAGATTCTTATGATTCATACCCTACCAAGGTTATATCATGGAATTCGAGTACCGACTGTTGCTCTTGGCTTGGTGTTACTTGCAGTACTAACGGGCGTGTTGTTCGTCTCGACCTTAGCGGAGAATCTATCTCTGGTGGCATTGACAATTCCAGTAGTCTCTTCAATCTTCAACATCTTCAAAGCCTCAATTTGGCCAATAACATGTTTGGCTATGGCTCTCGCATTCCGTCAGCAATCGGAAAGCTTACCAACTTGAGGTATTTAAATTTATCATATAATGGTTATTCTGGGCAAGTTATTCCCATTGAGATTTCACGCTTGGCAAGGTTAGTTATCCTTGATATATCTAATATGTATGACAATGGTGATCCAATACTTGAGAGCCCGAATTTAAGCATGCTCTTGCTGAACCTCACACAGCTTACAGAGCTTTATCTTGATGGAGTAAGTATCCCAGCACATGGTACTCACTGGTCCATAGCGATATCATCTTCACTGCCAAACCTGAGTGTGTTGAGCTTGTCATCTTGTAATCTTTCAGGTCCTATTGATCAATCCCTCGCTAAACTTCACTCTCTATCCGTGATTAGATTGGATCATAATTACCTAATCTCTGGTCCAATTCCAGGATTTTTTGCCAACTTTTCAAACTTGAGGGAGTTCAACTGGGATGGCAACAATATTTCCGGTCCAGTTCCATTATTCTTTTCCAATTTCTCAAAGTTGACTTCCTTGAATCTCGTGGCATGTGAGTTGCGCGGGACATTCCCCAAACAGATCTTTCAGATACCTACTCTACAAACTATTAACCTTTACTATAATGGTGAACTTCATGGTTCCTTGCCAGAATTTCCAAAGAATGGATCTCTTAGGTCCTTGGATCTAAGCCTTACCAACTTTTCAGGGTTAATGCCGGACTCTATTGGCAACCTCAAAATGCTCTCCACGATAAATCTTTTGAGATGTAATTTCACGGGATCAATCCCGAAGTCACTGGCGAACCTAACACAATTGGTTTATTTGGACTTGTCATCAAACATGTTCAATGGTCCAATTAGTTCTATCCACTGGGAGAAGCTTAGTAATCTGGTACATCTCCAGTTGAATGACAATCTACTTGAGGGGAGTATTCCGTCATCTCTCTTTTATCTTCCCTTATTGCCAGAGCTAGTACTTTCCGACAATCAATTCTCAGGTAAACTCAGCGAGTTTCCTAACGTCTCTTCCTACTTATTTACCATTGATTTAAGCTTCAACAATTTGGAAGGACAACTGCCTGTGTCTATCTTTAATTTTCGAGGCCTTGAATCACTTCGTCTTTCTTCCAACAATTTCAGTGCCTTTCCGTTCAATGGCCCTCAACAGCTGAAAAATCTTACATACATTGACCTTTCGTACAATAGCTTGCTGAGTTTATACAATGGTACTGATTCCTCATATTCCTCATTTCCTCAACTTGCTTTCTTGTATTTGGCTTCTAACAAATTGAGAACAATCCCATATTTCTTGAGAAATCAATCTGCATTATCCTCTTTGGACCTTTCAGAAAACCAGATTGAAGGCAAGATACCCCATTGGATTTGGAGTTTCAAATATCTTTATGACTTAAATCTCTCTTGTAACTCCTTAGGAACTCTAGAAGCTCCTTTCTTCTATCCTGATGTTCGTAAGCTTGACCTTCATTCAAACCAACTCCAGGGGAAACTCCCAATTTTCCTACCAAATGCCTTCTATCTGGATTACTCACAAAATAATTTCAGCTCTGTCATACCAACAGACATTGGTGATTTCCTCACTTCCGATACTTCCTTCTTGTCATTTTCAAGCAATAACTTGCATGGCTACATTCCAGTATCGATATGTAATGGGGGTTTTGGAGTTCTTGATCTGTCCAATAATTCTCTGAGTGGCATGATTCCACAATGCTTGTCGGCAAAAGAAAGTCTTGGAGTACTTAATTTAAGGAGAAACAACCTTACTGGAACTATTTCTAATTTTGAATTTCCAAAATTTTGTGAATTAGACACTCTGAACCTTGGTGAAAATCAGATAAAAGGTCAGTTTCCAAAATCTCTAGCCAATTGCACAGGTTTACAGGTTTTAAACCTTGGCGAGAATCATCTGGTGGATACCTTTCCATGCTTGTTGAAGAACATATCCACTCTGCGTGTCCTTGTTTTGCAGTCCAACAAATTTTACGGACGCATTGAATGTCCCAAGACCCATGGCACCTGGCCAATGCTTCAAATCATAAACCTAGCTCACAACAATTTCAATGGTGAAATACCGAGAAGATCTTTGACAACATGGCGGTCAATGATGGCTAATGAAGGTGATTCCCTAGCAAAGGTCAAATTCTTAGAATTTTCACACCCAGCAGGGAGAGACGGGGTTGGTTTTTCTTTTGAGGATGGTATAACAGTTACTAGCAAAGGTTCACAGATGGATCTGCTAAAGATTCTATCTATCTTCACCTTGATTGACTTCTCATGCAACAATTTCAGTGGACTAATACCTAAGGAAATAGGAAAATTCAAATCACTATATGTCCTTAACTTGTCCGGAAATGCCTTCACAGGCGAAATCCCATCCTCGTTTGGTAACATGCGGGTACTCGAGTCCTTGGACCTGTCACAGAACAAGCTGAGTGGGCAAATTCCACCACAGTTGGCAAATCTTACTTTCCTTTCATTCTTGAATCTCTCATATAATCAACTGGTCGGCAAGATCCCAACCAGTACTCAGTTTTCAACATTTCCAAAAGACTCATTTATAGGAAACAAAGGACTATGGGGGCCTCCTTTGACAGTGGATAACAAAGCACCACCACCAGCATTAAATGAAAGCCTTCCAAATTCTGGCCATCGTGGGATTAATTGGAATCTTATCAGTGTTGAAATTGGATTTACAGTTGGCTTTGGAGTTTCCGTTGGGTCACTTGTGTTGTGCAAGAAATGGAGTAAGTGGTATTACAGAGCTATGTACAAGATGGTTCTCAAGATATTCCCTCAGCTAGAGGAAATAATTGGTATTCATCGAAGACATGTTCACATAAATCAAAGGTGGAGACACTGAATTGATTAGCATTGTGATTATGTTGTCATATTTTAGCTTAATTATGCCCTAATAATTTATGTAATGTTATTCAATGTGAGTTCAATGCAAACTGTCTTTGGTTTCCTTAGTTTTTGTTTCTTTTAAAGTTTCATTATTGCACGGAGTTCCAACTATGTCATGACTTTCATATGCCTTATAATCCTATTCCACTCGGAACCTTGGTAAATTCAATGAACACCTTGGTATACACCTTTCGATAATTATTGTGAGGCAAAGCCTTAGGTACATATATTTTTTCTATTAATAATGATAGATTTCTGGTGGATATGTCTTTCATAAGCCTCTTAATCCTATTTCCACTGCGCCACCTTTGTCAATTCATTTCAAAGCAGTGTTAAAAGTTGTGTTTTCATATCAAAGACTTTGGTAATGTTAAAAGCGTATGAAGTCAAGTTCTCTTATCATCAAAGGCAACAATAAAAACACAGAGTATTGGAAAAAGAAAGAAAAAGGCTGTACCTTTTAGTTTCATCAATATCCATGTCCATCTCTTGTTAGTTTATGGGAGAAGAGGTTTAAGAAATGTTGGTTTTAATGTTTAGGACAATAACTTGACTATGAATAGAAAACTTTTGAAAGAGTAACAAAGTGATTTTCTTTGTGTAGAGGAGAAAAGGTACAAAGCTTAGATACAGGACTTAGTGGGATATAAGACAGCTGGTAGTTTTTCAGCTTTCATATTTTTCAAGGCGACAAGCCTATATACAGGAGATATTTTGGATTCACTGACTTTGCTAAGTCGGTTTGCTCATTCTCCATTATTCTAGATTTTTCCATATTATTCAAGACACATGTGTACATTAATTTTAATAATCTCCTCGTAATCTGCTGCTTCCAGGACCTCCTCCGAACTTAAGAATCTTCTCATTTTCAAATCAACGACTGAAAAGTTCAAACCAACAGTTTCTAGGTCGACTGGAAGCTTGCCGGGTTTCTTCCTTTCTAGTGTCTTTTTCTTCTCCTTTTTTTTCGGGTTTTTTGTTGGTCTATGTTTGTATTTGAATGGGCCCAATAGGTGTGGCTTTTCGAAAATGTTAAAAGGTACTATCTTTTTTTCCTAAAAAAAAACACTCTGTTTTTTTTTTGGGGGGGATTTGTTAATGTGAAAATGGCAAGTCTAGAGAATTATGGAGAAGGCTTGTTCGGTGCATTGTGCTTTCTGTGAAGATGCAATGGAAAACTATTGTTGGCCATTAGAGATAGGCATGCGTCAGACTGTGCCTATGGAGCTTCAAAAGGTTGACTTTCTAGGATGGAACTTCAAACTTATTGACCAAGGCAGAAGGGTTATCATATAGTTTAATTTGTTTGTGACTTCAAACTTTATTTTTCAATAAATTTTCTCGTACCGGCAAAGTTTTATAGAAAGGAAAAAAATACAAAATAACCTCCTCATGGTAGCATTTTCAGTTCGTTTTAACCGGAACATGAACATTTAACAACATCTACTTTCTTTGACTTGGCTCTGATGGTTTTTGTAGGGTTTCTTTCAGCACTTTAATTAGTTGAATTAAACAGCCTTATATGCCAAGTCCCAACCTGGTACATGTAGATTGTGGCACCACTCATGGGAACCTCAGAGCAAGCAAGCGTGAGTGTGAATTGTGTATCAACTTTCTTCAGTGATGGTTACTTGTCAAGTCCTTGCCCCTGTTTTAATTCTGTCCAAATTTTCCTAGTTACAGATAGAGATGGGAGAAGACTTCAAAGTCAAGCTAGCAACAATGGAGGCGGCCTTTTACCAATTCAACCCTGTGTACTAAAGCCACCACAGGCATTCATATTTCTTCACTTTCCCTCGGAGTCTCTAAAATTAGAAGTTCATCCAAAATGAAAACTCTGCTCCAATATTTCTTCCTTTTCTTCATCACTGCCATCTGTGTTAATATCATCCCTGCAGTTCGCGGCCAGTGTATTAAAAACCAACAACTATCATTGCTCCAATTGAAGAAAAGCCTTACATTTTATAATGATTCAACTGGATATTCTCCAGTTTCGTCAACCAAGGTCTTATCATGGAATTCAAGTACAGACTGTTGTTCTTGGGTTGGTGTTGCTTGCAGTACAAGCGGGAATGTTGTTGGTCTTGACATTAGCAGCGAATGCATCACAGGTGGGATTGACAATTCGAGCAGTCTCTTCGATCTCCAACATCTTCAAACCCTCAACTTGGCCAACAACAAACTTGGCAGTGTGGACCACAGCATTCCATCTGCAATCGGAAAGCTCACGAATTTGAGGTATCTAAATTTGTCCAAAACTGATTATTCAGGGCAAATTCCAATTGAGATTTCACGCCTGACACAGTTGGTTGTCCTTGATATTTCTAACATTTACAACTCCCTTAAGATCCCGAATTTACGCATGCTCTTTCAAAATCTCACAGAGCTTACAGAGCTATATCTTGATGATGTAGATATATCATCACAGGGGGCTCAGTGGTGCCAAGCAATATCATCTTCACTGCCAAACCTGAGGGTGTTGAGCATGTCTGGAACTAGTCTCTCAGGTCCTATTGATCAATCCCTGGCTAAACTTCAGTCTTTATCCGTGATTCGATTGGATTTTAACAATATCTCCGGTCCAATACCAGCATTCTTTGCCAACTTTTCAAACCTGACGGTGTTGAGCTTGGATTTTAACAGTATCTCTGCTCCAATTCCAGAATTCTTTGCCAATTTTTCAAAGTTGTCTTCCTTGAGTCTCAAATATTGTCAGTTGCAAGGAACATTTCCCAAAGAGATCTTTCAGGTACCTACTCTACAAAATATCGACCTTTCGCATAATTTGGATCTTGATGGCTCCTTGCCAGAATTTCCAAAGAATGGATCTCTTCGATCCTTGGTACTAAGATGGACAAAATTTTCAGGCTTCTTGCCCAACTCTATTGGAAACCTCAAAATGTTGTCCACGATAGATCTTTCAGGTTGCAGCTTCACTGGATCAATCCCAAAGTCAATGGAAAACCTGACAGAATTGGTTAGCCTGTACATGCCATCACAGAGGTTTCATGGTCCGATAGACTTTATTCACTGGGAAAACCTTGTTAATCTGGTACATCTCCAACTGGAATTCAATCACCTAAATGGGAGTATTCCATCATCCATTTTTTCTTCTCCCTTGTTAAAGGAACTACTACTTTCCCACAATCAATTTTCTGGTCAACTCCATGAATTTCATAACGTTTCTTCCAACTTAATTACCCTTGATTTGAGTTTCAACAATTTGGAAGGACCAATACCTGTGTCTATCTTGAGTTTCAGAGGGCTCTATACACTTGATCTTTCTTCAAACAATTTCACTCGCTTTCCTTTTAATGGTCCTCAGCAACTGAGAAATCTTTCGACCATTGATCTTTCCCACAATAGCTTGCTGGTTTTATATAATGGTTCCAGTTCCTCATCTTCCTCTTTTCCTCAAATTCAGGATATGAACTTGGCTTCTAACAAGTTGAGAACATTCCCAAATTTCTTGAGAAACCACATCTATTTAGAACGTTTGGACCTCTCAGAAAACCAGATTCAAGGCATGGTTCCCAATTGGATTTGGGGGATAAGTTCTCTTTCTCAGCTAAATCTTTCATCCAACTCCTTCTCAACTCTCGAAGGGCCTTTACCTAAATATTCCAGTGTGTCTGTTCTCGACCTTCATTCAAACCAACTTCAGGGGCAAGTCCCATTTTTCTCACCAAGTGCCCGTTATCTGGATTATTCAAAAAATCGTTTCAGCTCTAGTTTACCAACTGAAATTGGTGATTTCCTTGCTTCCACTGTGTTCCTCTCTCTTTCAAGCAATAACTTGCATGGGCTCATTCCAGTATCAATATGCAATGCAAGTTATGAGGTTCTTGATATGTCCAATAACTCTTTAAGTGGTATGGTTCCCCAATGCTTGACTGAAATGAAGAGTCTTAGAGTACTTATTTTAAGGAAAAACAACCTTAATGGAACTCTTTCTAACAGATTTACTGGATATTGTGGTTTAAGAGCTCTAGACCTTGGAAGGAATCAGATTAAAGGCCAGCTTCCAAAATCTCTAGCCAGTTGCACAAATCTAGAGATTCTAAACCTTGGAAACAATCAAATAATGGATACTTTTCCATGCTTCTTGAAGAACATATCCACCTTGTGTGTCCTTGCTTTGCGATCCAACAGATTTTATGGCGACATCGGATGTTCAAAGACCAATGGCACCTGGCAAATGCTTCAAATTATAGACCTAGCTCACAACAACTTCAATGGTGAAATACCGGAAAGATCCTTGACAACATGGCAGGCAATGATGGCTGACGAAGATGGTTCCCGACCAATTGCAAAGAGCAATGTCCTTTCATCTGAAGGGGGACAGTATACTGGAGCTGTTTATTCTTTTAAGGATGCTATAACAGTTACTAGTAAAGGTTCAGAGATGGATCTTGTAAAGATTCTAACTATCTTCACCTTGATTGACTTCTCATACAACAAATTCAACGGATCAATACCTGAGGAAATGGGAGTATTGAAATCACTGTATATCCTCAACTTGTCCAGTAATGCCATCACAGGCGAAATCCCATCAAGCTTAGGCAACATGCGACAACTTGAGTCCTTGGACCTGTCGCAGAACAAGCTGAGCGGGCACATTCCACAACAGTTGACAAAGCTTACTTTCCTTGCATTCTTGAATCTCTCAAACAATCAGCTGGGAGGCATGATCCCAACCAGTAATCAGTTTTCAACATTTCCACCATCCTCCTTTACAGGTAACAAAGGATTATGGGGACCTCCTTTGACTGTGGACAACAAAACAGGATTGCCACCACCACCAACACGGAATGGAAGCCTTCCAGATTCTGGATCTGGACATAATGAGATTGATTGGGATCTTATTAGCATCGAAATCGGATTTACATTTGGGTGTGCAATTGCCATTGGGTCACTTGTGTTCTGCAAGAGATGGAGTAAATGGTATTACAGAGCTATGTATAGCATCCTTGTCAAGACATTCCCCCAGCTGGAGGAAAGACTTGGTAACCATAGAAGACATGTTCACATAAATCAAAGGTGGAGACGTTGAAATGGCTATGAGGAGCCATGCGGTCCTTATTTTCTAATTACATTCCAAGAAGAAGAATAATATTTGACCCAAAACTGTACACGTGCTTGCCAAGTTCTCGGCTAGTTTTTCTTTGTTATAAATGGCTCAAATTCATCCCACCTTATCAATATTTTCACAATTCTTTCAACAATGATTGATTATTTAACTGAAAATTTTATGTCAACAATGACTGATTGAAATTAATATATATCAATCAATCTTTGAAAGTTAATAGCATTATAGAATACAACAGTAGTATGGTCACGTGTACATTTTGTATACGTGTTATAACATGGGTGTACGATATTATTTGTTTTTCTCTCTTTTAGGGAATAGTATTAATAAATATCCATTTATATTATAGGGAGTTTATAACACGTGGCAGTACTACCATAGTATTCTATAATCACTCTGAAAGTAGAGGGTTATTGCAAAATAAAAAAGAAGAAAATTAATAAATTAGATGGGTTATGGACCAACTGAGTTTGATTATGGACCGCACACAAAAGACATGACCCATGAACCGGCCCAAGTTAATCCATGATTAGTCTGTCATGAAACGGTGCGTTTCAATCTCCCGCTCCCGGGGTTTTTTCTTTGAAACACTGGAGTGCAGACTCTAGCTGAACCAAGCAATTTCACAATTCAAACTTTATCAATATTTTCACGAACTCTATATCTTCAGCTTTATCAATATTTTCATCTTCCAACCCAGAAATTCATCGACTTATTCAATAGTCAATAGTCCCCTAATTGTGATAGAGCCCTTAAGTAGATGGCAAAAGACTTCAAAGTCAACAACTCAAGCAAACCACAAATGTTGTGGAGACATTTTCCACAAATTCAATTCAAAGCCACCATATCCATCACTATCTCAGTTTTCCTCAGCGTCTCTATTTCCACGACTGCTGAAGCCACATTTGCAAACTAATATCCTAGCCTATTCTGTGCTTCAACACAATTGCTGTCACATATCAACAGCCAGCTAGAGCTTCCAATGAGAATTCCTCTGTTTTCATGGCTTTTCTTAATCCTTATTCACTATGTTTCACTCAGCGTCCATGTATTTGTGGTCTCTAGTCAATGTCCCAGCGAAGATCAGCAATCTTTGTTGCTTCAATTGAAGAACAGCCTCAAATTTGACTCTGAAAAATCTAACAAACTTAAGCAGTGGGAAAATGGCTCAGATTACTGCTCTTGGGAAGGTGTGTGCTGCAAAGATGGATGTGTTTCTCATCTCGACTTAAGCAGCGAGTCAATTTCAGGAGGACTTGATAATTCAAGTGCTCTTTTTGATCTGCAGTACATCGAGAACCTGAATTTGGCTTACAATAACTTCAACAATGCTCAGATTCCATCCGAGTTCGACAAGCTGACCCGTTTGAGTAATTTGAATCTGTCAAATGCTCGCTTTGCAGGGCAAGTTCCAATTGAGATATCAAACTTGACAAGGTTGGTAACTCTTGATTTATCTTGTGCCGCTTTCTCATCTGGAATAACTCTGAAACTTGAGATCTCAAATTTGAGTTTGCTCATACGGAACCTTTCGGAGCTTATTGAACTTTATCTTGATGGTGTGAGCATATCAGCACATGGGGCTCAGTGGTGCCAAGCTATATCATCTTCACTGCCAAAGTTGAGGGTGTTGAGCTTGTCCACTTCTAATATTTCAGGCCCTTTTCATAGTTCATTACTGAAACTTCACTCACTCTCAGTGATTCGTATAGAGAACAACAATTTGTCTACTCAAGTTCCAGAGTTCTTCTCAAATTTCACAAATTTGACTTCCTTGCGCCTCAGCAGTTCTGGGTTATATGGTACATTTCCAGAGAAGATTTTCCAAGTACCTACACTGCAGACTATAGACCTATCTGGTAATTCACAGCTTCAGGGTTCCTTACCAGAATTTCCGAAGAATGCATCTCTTCAATCCCTGGTTCTCAATGGGGCAAATTTCTCAGGCCAGTTGCTACCGAACTCTATTGGCCACCTCAAAATGTTGTCCATAATAGATGTTTCAAGTTGCAATTTCACTGGATCAATCCCAAAGTCAATGGAAAATCTAACACAATTGGTTTATGTGGACTTGTCATGGAACAAGTTCAATGGTTCAGTTCTCTTATTCAGTATGGCCAAGAATCTGACCCTAATAAATCTTTCATCCAATCTTCTAACAGGTCAGATACATTCCTCTCACTGGGAAAATCTTACCAATCTCTTGAATCTCGACTTGAGGCACAATCTACTTGATGGGACTATTCCGTCGTCTCTATTTTCTCTTTCACTGCTGCAGAAACTACAGCTTTCTAACAATCAATTCTCTGGTCAGTTGCCTGTATTTGGTGGTATCTCTCTATTGGACACCCTTGATTTGAGTAGCAATAAGTTGGAAGGGCCTATACCCATGTCCATTTTTAATCTCCGAGTGCTTAAGATTCTTTCACTTTCTTCAAACAACTTCAATGGCTCCTTTCCACTTAATGGTCTTCCCCAACTGAAAAATCTTTCGACTCTTGATCTTTCATACAATAGCTTGCTGATTAATTATAATCATACCAGTGTCTCGCATTCCACCTTTCCTAACATTACCACATTGAAATTAGCTTCTGGAAAGTTGAGAACATTTCCTGCTTTCTTGAGAAATCAATCTAGATTAGTCAGTTTGGACCTTTCAGAAAACCAGATTCAAGGCGAGATACCCAACTGGCTTTGGAATCTGAGTAGTCTTAGTCAACTAAATCTTTCTTACAACTTCCTGGTAGCTCTAGAAAGTCCTTTGCTTAATCTTACTTCTCTATCTGTGCTTGACCTTCATTCCAACCAGCTTCAGGGACAATTCCCACTTTTTCCACCATCAGCCATTTATGTGGATTATTCAAAAAATAATTTCAGCTCTAGGATACCCCCTAACATTGGTGATTTCCTTAATTTCACTTTGTTCTTCTCTCTTTCAAGCAATAACTTCAATGGGATCATTCCAGAATCAATGTGCAGTGCGCCATATCTTCAAGTTCTTGATTTATCCAATAATTCTCTAAGTGGGACGATTCCCCAATGCTTGATTGCAATAAGTGGGACTCTTGCAGTACTGAATTTGAGAAGAAACAATCTTTCTGGCACTGTTCCTGATCAATTTGCTGAGCGTTGTAGTTTCAAAACTCTAGACCTCAATGGCAATCAGATAGGAGGTCAGTTTCCAAAATCTCTAGCCAATTGCACAATGTTAGAGGTTTTGAACCTTGGAAACAATCAAATAGCAGATACGTTTCCTTGCCTGTTGAAGAACATTTCCACCTTGCGTGTTCTTGTTTTGCGATCCAACAAATTTTATGGACACTTAGGATGCCGCAAGCCCAGTGGAAACTGGTCAATGCTTCAAATTGTTGACATAGCACTCAACAATTTTAGTGGTGAAATACGAGGAAAATCTTTGAGAACCTGGAGGGCAATGATGGGTGACGACGATGATGCCATGTCAGAGCTTAATCACCTCCGATTTGGAGTCCTAAAATTCACCGGGGTATATTATGAGGATGCTATAACTGTTACCAACAAAGGTTTAGAGATGGAGTTGGTAAAGATTCTAACTGTCTTCACCTCTATTGACTTCTCCGGCAACAAATTCAATGGATCAATACCTGAGGAAGTGGGACAACTCAAATCACTTTATGGCCTCAACTTGTCCAGTAATGCGCTCACAGGCACAATCCCATCATCATTAGGTAACCTACGACAACTTGAGTCGTTAGACCTTTCAAAGAACAAATTGGGCGGAGAAATTCCAGCACAGTTTGCCAATCTTACTTTCCTT